CAATTTTTCATTCGCAATCGATATGCCAACATTATTGTTACAAAATTATGTATACTTTTAATGAAACCTACTTTTCATATAAAATAAATATAAAACTGACTTAAATTTTCAAACAAAATACACACTCATATATAAAAAAAAACTTTATTTTAAGGTAGATCTTAACGTGCCAAAGATACCTAAGTAATATAATAAATAGATTATATATCAAATATAATTTAAACCATATAAATAAGATTAATTTAGTATATATTTATATATACGAGTATCTTTGATGATTTTGTCCAAGTTTTATATGTAAATCGAATTGTTTTGAAATAATTTCTTAGATTCTTCGTGCTCGTTTATTTATTGTTGTATATAATATATTTTCAGTTCTCAACATCAGCTATTCATGGATCGGTCATTTCTATATTTAGTAAGTGACACAATAGATATCATGCTCTAATAATAGAAAATGCATCAGTTATCATGTGTACAATGTGTGATATTGACAGTTCGGCATCTTCCCGATTCGTCATGTATAATTGAAAATAACCAAATATAACGTAATGGTAATTTGTTAAACTATAAGCTTGTACATATTATATAGAATCATTCTATAATAAAATAATCTGGGAGTCATTAGAAGCGTTTAACTATAACCCCCCTCCACTACCTTCTGTAACGTTACACGCGACAGGTGGACGAAATAATTTTGAAGATGTAATACAAGTTTCATTTGATAATAATACTGTATACGTTAAAAGTGTTTGTGGTCTTAAATATACAAGAGCCTTGTATCTAGCTGTAAGTTAATACATAGTTAGCTCCGAAAAAAGTGTCAAAAATGAGAAGAGTATAAAATTGGACAAAAAATATATAACCACATCTCGTCGGAAGAAAAAAAACAATTATAACAATGTAATTGATGTATTTTTTAAAGTAATAATTTTAAATACATACATCAAATTACATAAAGCTGAAATAATTTTTCTTCTTTTAAAAAATCAATTAATATAAGTTCTTCAGAAATACTTGTACTGCTTCTGTTCTTTTATTTTGAAATTAATCAAACACATGTTCCGGCTTCGGGGGAACAATCTCTGAAATGTTTTATAAGACAGACAATTATTTTCTTTTATATATGTATATCTATATATAAAAGAAAGTCGTGTCAGTTTCACTATTTATAACTTAAGAACGCTGTACGGATTTGGCTGGAAATTTGTGGGGAGGTAGGTTGGAATCAAGAGCACAAAATACTTTTGAATTCATTCGACCAAAAAAAAATTGCTAATAAAATCCAAAATATGTTTTAGTTAGTATACATTCCTAATTATGAAACTAACGCGAACAAAGTCGTAGGCAAAAGCTAGTATATATATACTCCTGACATATACTGTGTTATTTTTATAACAATTGTGTATACTATATATAAAAAGTATAGTTTGTCAGTCAATGCCGATCCTGTAGCCCTCCGTAAATGTTCTGATCAGAATTGACCCGTCGTACCAATCATGACGATAAAATCAAAGCGTTCTGCCCACTATTACCTACGTCTAATGGCTCGGTTATTTATTAATCAAGCAACCCACATGCGATATTAAATAATAATACTGAATGAATGACAATTAATGAATTGCTATGATTAAATATACATCAACGTTTTTCACTTGTTAATACACTGATATCACTTCAACACATGCCACGTCGTAGATTATATATCGCTTTTTGGTAAACCCATAAAAATGCTCAAAGTATTATTTATCTAAAAACTTCATCCCCCAAAACAAAGTTAGTAATTAAAAGTCTTCAACGAACATAAATCTATAGCTGAAAGATATTTTAAATTAAAACGTTCATATCTCAGTCTGATAATTCCGACACAATGGCCGCGAATATCGAGAGGAGATAATAAATAAAAAGTTTGAATAAATGGGAAGAATTTCAACTATAATTAATAGGTGCTAGGATAATTTTTAATGAATTTTTTTTATAGTTAATTTACGGCCTCGTTCAGACTTGTTGTGGTAAATAAAGATTTAATAAAATATGTAAAAATATACCAATGTTATATAGCAATTTGAATGTATTACTTTATTGACTGACGCGCCATCTGTGTCCTCATATGAAATACTCTGTGGTTGCTATAAAGAAATATCGATTAACTCGAGTTAGTATCGATAACATATGACAGATGGCGCTAGTGAATAATTTTTAAATACTGATACTTTACCAAAAGTAATATAGAAAATTTAAATACTTATTATAATAATACTTATTAAGTCCTTTATTAAAAATTATATCCAAGGTTCGTTGATTTTTAACAATCATGTTTACTTCCTAACAAAAGTTATTAAATTGTGGTGTCATCTCTTCCACGTAAGCGGAACTAAAAATCGATTCTTCCTCAAGATTCCTGAGTTTTACAATAGATGTCACTACTATTAATTAAAATTTTCATCTTTTGAATCTCCAAATCTATAAGATGGTTTTATATATTTGCGAATGTTGGGCCCGCTATGACATCGTAGCAATCAAAGAGATTATCCGTTTTCGATGCGGTTTTATTCAATTGTAGGGTTCTTAGCAGTTGATATCATCACTTCCAAAATGACATAACCCATTTCTTGAATATAGTAAATTCTGTTGGCATTGTTAAATAATCAAAAGTTTTCTACCATTATGTACATAGACTACAAAAACAACTCCTGAAAAAATGTTTTTAAATGTTCCACAAGACGAAAAACGTCGAAAGAAATGGTTTCAAGCAGTGCATCGAGATTATTCAAAAACAAAATCAGTTTTTTTTTGTTGTGAAGATCATTTCGTTGTAAGTATTCATAATAGTATTGTTATTAATTATTATTTATCTAATTGTATAAATCGAATAAGTATAGTTCAATAATTAATTTTTTTACCTGGGCTCCAAATCATTACCTTTAGAATCGTAGCATTAAAAAATTTTAATTGATAATTCAAAGCGATTAAATAGTAAATCTATATGTATGTTTGTCTAATAATTGGACTTCAATTAATAGATATTTTCATAATTTTATAACATTCTAGGTTCTGTATCAGACTACATTTAAATTTTTAAAGTATATGTTATTTTGGTTTTTTATAATGTTATAATAACATTTTATTAATAATGATTTAATGAAATAATTATTAATTATATTTAATAGAGAATAAATACTTATTTTCATTTAGAATAGTATTTTTTAACAGACTTACCTTGATGCCTTATCACCTCGAACTTCAGCAGAATTAAACCGAACGTCATTTTTTAAAAAATTAGTTATCATAAATATATCAACATCAGGAATATTATCCGATTTTGCTTTTATAAATCCTTTATCATAGTCGAAATAAACTTTTCAAATCGTTTTTCACTAATAAATTTGAGATATTTTTATCAAGTTAAAGATAATAGCCATAAACACTGTACTATTATGAAATTGCTTTAACATTATGACGTCACAAGTATGCTGACCAATCATGGCGCGTTTACAGTCACGTGATATATTTTTGAATTTGATCAATTTTTAATTGTTTATAATTAATTAAAAAAAAATATTTCAAGTTTTTTGCATTAAAAATCCAATATAATTAATAATAAAGTTTTAAAATACATAAAAAAAATCAATACTTTTTTTTTTTCAAAAACCCAATAACTTCATTGGATGTTTAACGACAACATAATTTTTAAATAACAGTTAAAGGGTACATACTTAACGCAATATTTTTTTTCTAAACAGAAGATGTAATATTTTAACTATTTATTCATTGGCGTTCCGAACACCTAAATAAAATTAATAGCAAACTCGTCAATTTAGTATCATCATATTTCACACAAAGATTATATTTTTTTACAATCAAAAAACCATATAATGTTACATTACAAATACGTGGCGATTAGAAAATCATAAAATTTTATTGATGAATATATAAATACTTTTTTTTTAATAAAAAAAAAAACAAGTATTTATTTAAAATTTCATTTCACTTTTATTGTCATGATAATACACAGTATAGCACACATATTGATATTTTATTATATACAAAATAATATATAATTAGTTTCAATAACAGTCATCATCACGAAACAAAAGGTTTGTTACTTCTGTGTAACAAAATGGTAACTATATTACCAACTAACGGCACCACTTAGAACAAGTTTATAGTAACTCATATTTTTCCTTAAATTAATATTAACATCCGTAAATGTAACTATGTATATCTAAGCGTTGTATAGATTATAACAAAAATATATTAAAAACATTATTCTAATTGAGGATTCATTTAAAATTGAAGTAAAACTTCTTTACGCACGTTTGGGGGTAAGATTATGACAGCGTTACGAAAAATGTGATCGGGCGGGGCGAATGGATGAATGGATGAATGGATGGATGGATGAATGGATGGATAGAGGCATGTATGGATAGATAAATAAATAGATGGTTGGATGCATGGATGGATGAGTGGTTGGATGAGTTGTTGGATGAATGGATGGATGGATGGATGAATCGATGGATGGATGCTTAGATGCGTAATTGTGTTTCAGAAAGAAAAATTGGATAAAATATATAAAAGTAATCATTATAAACTTATTAACCTGTTATGTGTACGTGTCTAAGAATATTTTCTTTCTCGCTTCCTTTCATTAGCGGTGCATGAAATACATATACATATATATGTATATACATATCTGTACTATGTACATATATATGTTTCATATAGATGGAGCGAAAGAAGTTTTACTTCAGCCGTGTGCTAATGCACACTGATTTAAATTTTTTTCTTGTAATGCTATTTTCTTTACAACTGAGTTAAAATTATCAACTATACTACCAAAAATACGTCATAGCTATACAGGTTTGTACAAAACTTACTTCTGGCGTTAAACCGAGGTTACTTTTAAGGTAAATAATAAGAAATGCAACTAATTAGCTTATAATACCCCATTCCAGCCCTTTGATAACTTCTGGGCGTAGTATGGGGTTTTAGGAGTATATTTAGTGAGTATTGTCCGCAGTTCTTGCTGTTCTGTCTGCTGAGAACGCTGGCGGTCTACTGGCGAATGGCGGAATTTTGGTGGGAGATGGCGGTGGCGTTGGTGGCATGAGATTAGTGGCTGGCTGGTATACTCTCGCCGACAATGACATACCATCTGGAATAAAAAAATGATGTAATAATTTTCGTTTTATATATAATAAATTCGACAGTAAAAAGATGTATAGACTGAATTTGGCCATCATTAGTAGTTTTTTAGCCTTAATGAATGCCAACGTAAATTCTTAACTAAGAAGTTTACTTTTAGTCATCAATGTTTGTTTGGTGAAGATTTGTTAATGATATTTTAACATTAAAACTGACAGTACTGACGTTTTGAATCTAAAAATAGTCTCAGATTTATGTTATTTTAATTAAATTAAATATGTAACACTAACTGTTTGAGTAGGAACGGTTGTACGAATGCTTGTAAGCTTGTTCCTTTGTCGGCGGCATGGTGATCTGAAACAAAGTTATACATATGTTAAAAGATATATATAACAATTAAAATTTAACAAAAGTATAAAAAACAAAGGATAAATTAGTTCAATGTTAGAGTTTGGGATATTTTGTTCCACCAATCATTTTACTTAAACGTATTTCATTTAAGATGATCTCCAGGAAGTTTAATTTTATCAATAACTAGAATACAATTGATAAGAATATATGTATTCTTGTCTAAAATCCTATGAGCTCAGGATATATGGTGCGAGGATTATAAAGGAATAATTTTATATATATTATATATAACTCCTCTTATAATTTTAGTACATGGTTAGATGTGTATATACAATTAAATTACTTATTATCATTGCCAGCGTATTTATTTTTGAAAACGTAAAAATTATATAACAAGAAACACTCTAGTAATGACCTCTAAAGAATGAAACCTCTATTTTTGTGTCTGATTATTCTATTCCTATACATCTATCACAAGTCGTGGTGGCCTAGTGGTTAAAGACCCGCCTCTCGTGCATGAGGGCGCTGGTTCGAAACCTGGCAGGTAATAATGTGATTTTTCCCAGTCATATGTACTTTCTAAAAGTAGAGACTCCAATGACAGATGAAGGAAAATATCGTAAGGAAACCTGGACTTATAATTTCCAATTATAAGTTTGATATCACCAACCCGTCTAGAGCAAGCGTGGTGATTAATGCTCAAATCTTCTCCATGTGAAAAGAGGTCTTTGCTCAGCAGTAGCTCTGATAGGCTGATGATGATACATCTAGATGTGAAAATCTTATCGGTTCAACATAACATACTCCCATAAATGTGTTTCCATGCACTTAATAAGAAATCATCTTTCAAGATGTTATGGCTCCATTAATGAGCGTTATCGATGGGGCCTTCCCGCGGGACCCCATAAATAATACACGCCTTTATCGCCGGTTCGGGAATCAGGGATATTTCATCAGCCTTCATCACATACACCCCACACGCGATGAGTCTAAATATACCTGAACCAACTCACTTGATGAAAGACGTGGAGAAAATATGAAAATGTATTAAATAGCTGTAATATATAATATATACATATTGAAATACTAGATGTACACCAGGCTTTATCTATACACTCCTGAACGAAGATTAAAGTGTTAGAGAAGACTAACATTTTTTGACTTAAATGATACCCACAAATAATTTCGAACGGTACATTGTCTTAGCTGTTTATATATGTACTAGCTTTCCGCCCGCAGCTTCGCCGCGTGGAGTTCGGTTATATCGCGTTTCCAAGAGAACCTTTCAAAAGTCTGGGATAAAAACTATCCTATGTTCTTTCTCAAGGTCAACTCTATCTCTGTACCGAATTTCATTAAAATCAGTTCAGTGGTTTAGGCGTGAAAGTGTAGCAGACAGACAGACAGACAGACAGAGTTACTTTCGCATTTATAATATTAGTAGGGATTTAAAGCGATTTATTCTTTGCTAAATATTTTTCCTTTCACCAACAAGTTACAGATAAATATAAATTAATTAATCCCAAATTATTCAGTGTATTCCACCCGTCATTACTCGCATTATGCCACAAAGAAAGCTAATCGAACGTTAAATATAAATTTGAACATCGTTTTTCACAAGAACATCAAAGGTATGAACATTTTTAAAAGCACACAGAATAACGCACGAGAATTATTAATAGCATTCAATATTACAAGTTAACCAATTTCTCCTTTGAGCTCCTAATACTTTGACGATAATACTTTATTGATGAAAAATCTTACAAAATGAAAAATATCATAGCACGTATTTGGTACGACGGATTTTGGTACTTATGTTTTATAGATATAAAGACTATAATGTTATATACAATTTTCTAATAAAGTAACGTTCGATGCCTTCACAAAATGTTATCATATTTTGGCTTCGAACGATCTGAATAAGTGATCTTGATACGTTCGAATAACAACCGTATTGTTTTAGAATAAGGTTCAATTTCGCCTGTGAAGTGTTAAAATATAAGTCTTTTCAATGAAACTCCTTTGAAGGGATTTATTCCGTTGAAGAAAAAGATGTGGGGGTCTGTAAATTGATCATGTTTGACGTCTTTTGATAACATGAGTTACGTGTACTCATAATAAAGTGCAATTTATAGAAATTTAACAGAAATATTACATTCATTGTTCAATTATTTTAATATAATTGATTTGTTTTTATTTTAGATTTTATTTGTATATAAAAGAAAGTCGTGTTAGTTACACTATTCATAACTCAAGAACGGCTGTACGGATTTGACTGTAGTTTGGTGGAGAGATAGCTTAGAACATAGAAAGGACATAGGCTACTTTTCATGTGATTTAAAAAAAATAAGTAGATCGATACGAAAATCTTCTTATTAGGTACTATCTTTAAGGAGAAACAGAGTCCTCAGTTAGCTACACTATATTTCTAATCCTTAAACTTACGCAAACAAAGTTATGATCAAAATCTAGTATTTTTATGGCAATGTTGATTTTCAAACAATATTATTTTATATGGCAATACTACAAGGGTCATTGACATCCGCAATCATACGAATTGAAACAGTTATTGGTACAATTGAAGGCGACCTCTGATTTGTCGACTGTCATTATGGTACTTCAAAGAAAGCCATACTTAAAGCACTGCATTGTACTTACTCCCGGTTTAACAGTATTCCATTCATAAACCTTTAGCTATTAAACGAGAAATTTAAAACTAAAAGAAAATCTTTCTTATTCGTCTATAGAAGTGTAATTTATTTATTTTATCAGGAAATAATTAACATAAAGTCGTGATAGCCTAGTGGTTAGAGGCCCTCTTATGCACGAGGGCGCGGGTTCGAAACCTGACAAACACCAATGTGAATTTTTCCTAATTATATGTAATTTCGAAGAGTATTTAAACTGATGAAGTAAAACATCGTGAGGAAACCTGAACTTATAATTTCAAATTAAACGTCTGAAAGCGCCAATAGGTCTTGAGCAAGCGTGGTGATTAATGCTCTTCCTTCTCCATGTGAGAAGAGGCAGCTCAGCAGTGGGCTCTGATAGGCTGATGATGATCAAGTAATTAATATTAATCTCACAATAACGATCCTTGAAAACTTATTTACTGTCGGTAATTACTTAATAGAAACTACTACTAATGGTACTTATACCTTTCAAAGTATTTTAAAATGTATTTAAAGCATTTAATTATTATGATATTTATATAAATGTTGTGTTATTTTATCAAATGCGGTACCAACTGTATCGGAGCGGTGCTTTCACGCCGAGCATAGTTGAAAGTTTGCCTGTGTTCAAACTAGTTCATACAGTCACATAGTGGACATGACTCTTAATATGTAGAAGAAATAATAATTAAATTAAACAATAATAACTGAAGTATTAAGTAAATCAGTAGTGGCCTAGTGGTTAAAAGGCCCGCCTCTCATGCTCCCGGGCGCGGGTTCGATCCTGGCCCTGGCAAGTACCAATGTGATTTTTTCCGAGTCATATGTACTTTCTGAAAGTATTTAGACATCACTGATTAATGCATTCCCAAAGAGGGTTGATGTCAGGCAGGCGGCCGGTCGTAAAAACAGTTAGACAAAACTATTCATAACATGTAAGGCAGACCCTGGCTAAAGCTGGGAAATTGCCAGGTAGAAGAAGAATAATAAACATCCTGCTAGTCAAATGTTTCAAAGAACGTTATCGCGGATAGTAAGTAGCTTGGGTTTTATTCGTGTCAGCTTAAACAAAACTAATTGTCCAAACAAATTAATTGATGAATAAACATATATGTATATATATATATATATATATATATACATATATATATTGAGTGGGTAGTGATATCAGTCAGGAACACGTGCGAAAATTTTACAATGAAACTATCACGTTTTACCACTTACACATATATATGTTTGTATATAATACTAGCATGTGCCCGTGACTTTAAGTGAAAATTAATAACGTTTAAAGCATTAGTTCATAAGCAAAATACTTCGTAATGTACTTTAACTGTGTAGCAAGGCTGAAATCTAATTCTGAGATATTTCTTACTAAAATTTATGTTATAAGAATGATAATTAACTTAAGTGCTACCTAAATAAATGTTCTTACTAATGTAAAACTAATATTTTATATAAAGCCAGTAGTTCCATCTATTAGTGAGTACAAACAGACATATTCTCAAGCTTAAATGTGATTACTAAAGTGTACTTATTTTAAGTCTGCGTTAAACCCTCAATAAACGATTTCATTTCAATAATATGTTTCTAATAAATAATTAAAATAATTGGTATATCATAATAAGGACTATCATTCATATATATAAATTAGTACAATATTCTGTGTCGTATCCACATTAACACATACGTGGTCGGAAGCAAGTTGCATATCTATTTATTTATGTATCTACTTTTCATTTTGTTTATCACTAAGGATGTATGAGGCTGTATTATGTATTGTTGAACACGTGACATTTACGTTATAACGTACATTATACGGTCGAAATACGTAAATATAGTTCAAAGAATTTTTAATATAGAATTTTATCTATATTTACAACTATATCTATATCTCATTCGTGGAATCCAGTTTATCTATAAGTAATTAATAGATATAAATGTCGCCAAGCAATCTATGTTCGTTGATAAAAAATATTATTAAATATTACATTAAATTATTTCTCATATTATAATTAAATTCTACTGTTTTTTTATTTTATTTCTTTTAAAATCGATATAGTTAAAATGCTTACTTTATTTGCGTTTTAATCCGCCAATTTCTCGCGAGTCCCCCCTTCATTAGACAGAAAAAGTACCAATACAAGATGGCCGCCCCTTAGAAAGACAATCACTAATTACAACGACGTAAGCTATACAAATCGCGAAAAATGTTTACTAATTTGCAAAAAAAGCGCCAAGACAGAAATGTAGGGAGGATTCCGTATTATTTTAACATTAAAATATATATTCTGATGCATTTTTGATAAATTTAATAGTAATTAAGTAAGAATTTAAAATGGAAATATAATATAGCCGCCATTTTTTTTATTGTCAAATATGGGTTTAAAAATGACACTGAATGCTTCTCTTGTGAAGTTTCTAGAATGTAATCAATCGTTTTGCATATATTTTGGCAGTATTATATTAGTAAGCGTTTAACTTAACTTCGCACTATTCACCAATGGACCCTAAAGAAGGCGGAAAAAAATTCACACTCCAAACGAACTTATTTATCCTAGCGGGATTTAATAAGGATTTTTCAAGGAAGATTTTCTTGATTTTTTATTTATATTTTTTTTTTGTACTCCACCCCGTAATCTAGATATATTTTCGACGCAAATTGAATTAGCACGACAAATGCGACATTAAAACGCGCCTTAACGCGGCCATGTTGGTTCGTTTGACATCTATAGAGTGTTCTAGAAGAAAAAGAAGTCGAGTTATTATAAACATACTCTTGATGGCTTCTATTAGCCAAAACTAGTCACAACATGTAAGGCAGACCCTGGCTAAAGCTGGGAAGTTGCCAGGTAGAAGAAGAAGACTCTTGATGGCTTTTGTTTTGGTCAAAACTAGCAACAGTGTAACATCTCGTCTTAATGATCACGGTTGCTGTAAAGTAACCGAAACGTCGGGAGTATGTAGTTTAAAATAATAAAATACGCATAGTAGGGAAATATTAGTTTCATTTAAATGACTCGCGATAATCTCATAAGCTGTAGTGTTTTGTTTTATATTTAATTTCACCTCGTATTATTTATTTTAAAACTTAAATGGAAGTTTTTAATACGTTAGCAATAATTAGGAGATTTTCTAGAGGAACTATTATCTCTATTCTCGTTTGTATTCTCAATTCTTTCAAGTATCATTTTGTATGGAGTCTTTTCGACTCTTATGTTAGAGCATATATCACCTACATGACTAAGGCTTTATGCAAAAAACCTTAATTTTTCCAACTCTCTTGTTGAATAATATTAATTAATTCTATTTGTTGTTTTACAGCGACATCCCCAGCACTATATCTCATTTCATCTCACCGTTTGTTTGTACAGATATTAAAGATAAAAATATCAAAGAAAGCAGTCACAAAGAACCCTAGCTGCAAAATATTAAATTACTCAATATTTCATACCGATACTAATTTCGCTATCTTAACCCTTTTGCCGCGGTGCGACCGAAAATATTACCGACGGAAAAATATATATATATATACACCAAAGAAAAAAGTCCCAAGCTTAATTGACATTCTTTATGAACGTCAGTCTTGACTCGGGGATATTTTTTAATTAGATATATTTTATGGGCTTTTTTTTTTCGAAAGGGGAATAAAGGGTTAACATTTGTTAGGGCGCGGGGGTCAATATTAGCTTTCCTGGTAATCAGCCGAGAAAAAATGGTCGATTAGACCCCCAGAAGACGTAAATTCGGGATCATTGGGAGGCTACGTGCTAGGTGTGACAACCCTCGCCTTACGTAACTCCACTAGCTACCCTCCCGCGATTAAAAGATATTTTTTAAATGTAAATTAGGGTTGAAGATGTTCGGATTTGATTATATCCGGTCTGGTATCTACGTGGCGTTTGTTAGATTACGTATGTATATATAACATGACGTATTGTAACAAAAAATCGAAAAAAATACCACAGATTATATATGCAAACTTATTAGGTCCAAAGCCATTCAGCCAACATTGTAAATAAGAAAATGATTTTGTTAGTAAATCTCAAATAAATAGGCCAACCTACATAATGTAATAGATCCGTAAACACTATGGTTGGTAAAATGGGTCAAAAATAGTGGATACCTATTGATAAGGCGATACCAAGATAACGTGACCTTGTACAAACCGCTCTAGGCCAAGGTCTTAATGATAATTAATTATTTGTGTGCTCCTTGAATGTTTACCTTCGTTAAATCTATATTTAATTGGTATATTATGTGACATGATTAGCCGTATATAAAAAAAAACCCGCGAAATAAATGGCACTGATAAGAGTTCGGACAAATGAGGTTGTATATGGAAAAATTTTAATTTATTTTTCTTTTATAATTTTCAATAAAATGTCTTTCAAAGAACTTTGTATTAATAATGGCGTATATGAAAATTATATATAATCTATGTTAAAAAAAACATTATTTTTTTATGATGAGTGACATTCATACAACGATTGACATGTATTATATAAGTTATAACTATTCCTAGCTTATTTTTGATATCTATTTATTATAAATATTTTTTTCAGCGCATTATGATCTTAATTTTCGTGACCAATACAAAGAATATATAATAAAATATACATATTTTTATGATTTTTCAAAGTTATAATAAATAGTTTATATTGGTTTAGTACGGGATCAAATTAAATAAATTTTATCTTGTTAGTAATTTTCTTTAATTTTTATTCATATACATAATTCTACTCTATAGCAATAAAAATATGATCCATTTTACTATTTCTTATAATCCACAGCAAGAGATACAAATTGATATAACAATTAGCAATCGCATAAGGTACGATGAATTAAAGTTACATCAAAACGAACGCAGCCGTTAAAATCAGATAATTAAAAAAATCGCAAGCAATACAACATAATATATAAAAAACTGCAAAACAAAAACGCGTCAAAAATAAATAAAAATATATAATTATCATTCCAATACAAAACCTTTTTTTTATAACAAAATGAGGTTTATTAATTCCCTTATATTTTTCTATTCCACGTAAACCAATGAATCATATAAAGCTTTCTACCTGTGTGAGTCAGTACAATGAAATGTGGGACAAAAACGTTTATGGGATAACAGCCTCTATTATTATGCAATAAGCACTATTTTCCTGTGTAATTATTTACAACAAACCACTATGTGCTCAGTTTCCCGAATATTAAGTCTTGATTGTCTTCTCAGGGAATTGTTTTAGGGATAATATTGTTTTTCAAAAAGCCAATGCCTCAAAACAAAATGGCTAACAATGAAAACTGTTTAAACGTGACCAAAAATAAAATAATAATTTGACATAAGAATTCTATCCAATGCATTAGAAGTGAGGAGTTTTTTTTTTAAATAATAACAGGTCAAAGTTTTTGTTTTTCGTATTTCATATGTCGACTAATTCTTGAGCAATGAAGTACGTTGACCCTAACGGTACGTACGTAAATTTTTCGGTGCTATCCTTAAAACGTCATGACATCTAAACAATATGTGGTCAATTTAATATTTAATTGTACAGTATGAATGCTGTTCGATTGATAAAAGAATAATATTTAAACTAAATGATTCAAACAATGCTTTCGAAAAAAATAAAGAACTTTTGTTGTGTATATCACGATAACACTGAGGTAATCTTGTAGTAGATTAGAAATGTAATATATAAGATAAATGTATATTGATTGCACTCACATTGTACCTTAATAGTAATTATATTATTCGCTAACAATATCACAAAGCATAACATATGGTTACTAAATAATAATAAAGAAAATAGTTTTGATTACAAAGCAAAACTTGACATAACTCCCGCGCATCAAATAAATAAACTTACTATTTATATGTCACCGTGAAGTTTGGTAGCCACTTTTAAACACTGGCACTCAAAAATATAATAATTTAAAAAAAACACGAACGATTATGTTTTTAAATATCGAACGTCTGCAACACAACGAACGGTTCGCAACTGAATGATACTGACCATTTGGCACACATTGACAGCGTCTATAAAGGCGACACGGTCGCAACGTCAGCAATCTATTAAAATTTAAACTTAACATAATACGATAAGGTCCAGTTACAAAAGCATATAGCAACTTAGAACTTTGTCGAAGTATATAGCGTCAAGGAGAATTGAGGTCAATGACGGCCTTTTTTACCTATTTAAAAACAACAGCTGAGTTTGCAGAAACACGTAAGATATTTGATTTTGGATCGGATCGAAAGAGAAAGACGTTTTTAATGGACGCATCGAGTATTTGTTGTCTGTGGTCAGCGAAAACATTTAAAATATTATTGTTCAATTGATATGAATATTATCAAACATAAAAAAATATTATTTATTTAGCATGTATAGATTTATTTATACAAATACATTTGTACACGGTAATTTTGTCATAATTTTATAAAGGTATTTTCTGTCTCCCTCATTCGTATAGAGTTAGAGTGAATAGGAAGTATAAAGTTTTGTGTAGGGTTATTAACCGATATGGACATTGTACCAGAAAGCGCGAAATGAAAATGTAATTAAAAAATAAATATAGACAAAATTATGTAAAAACCTTTTCATGGGGTAAAATTATATACAAGTAGGTTATATATGTATGTATGTATGTTTATTTATATCTAATTTGGTTCAGGCCATTCTGACAGGTGGTTTTTTATCTTTTTGTGGTACTTTGACTTTCTTGGCGAGGAATCTTGATGGTGATCTTGGTGGAGAGAGGTCCGGAGGCGGAAGTGGTGGTAATAGATTTGTCGGCTCCTGAAATACTGTTGCTTTGCTTGTAGGACCTGTTTGAATAAATTATTATTACGATAGATATATATACTTGTAAGTATGAAATATATTTATACGTTGTCGTCAATATTTCTCAAATTAAATGAATCTTCTATATATATAAAAATGGATTGCTGTTCCTTAGTCTCGCTAAAACTCGAGAACGGCTGAACCGATTTGGATAATTTTAGTCTTGAAATACTTCTGAAAGTCCAGGGAAGGTTTAAAAGGTGAGAAAAATTGGAATAATTGCCGGGAAAACCCTAAAAACAGCCCTTTTCTATTTCCCATACAAATGTTTTTTTTGACATTAGATTTGACAACTAACTAATATGTCAATCATTCTGTTTGATTGAAATAGGAAAAACCTGATTGTTTATGGCCTCTAAGACGGAATAGAGTTCGCCTGGTCAGCTATACCTACATATATTACTCTTGACCAAACTAACGCGTACGAAGTCGTGGGCAAAAACTAGTATGAAATATATTTTACAAGAAATCGTACGTAAGATATGCAACCAAGATATAGATTTTTTTATATTGCATGTATTCCAATGAAATAGTTCGTCATTTCTTGTAATTAAAACAAATGAATCTCCACTATTCACTATTAATTAATATTAATAGAAAAAAACATTGAAGCTCACCCGCTTTAGGTTTAGATGTCAGTTTGTCTCTCCGTTCCATGTTAACTCATGAAAAACACCACTTCAAATGTTACTATACAAGCTATCTCCGTAAATGCGTCGCCGGTAATGATTTTGTTCGTACGATAAAACGAACGGGACTTTACTATATTGATGGATTACAAGGAAAATAGACATATAAATACTACTTAAATAAATACTTATATACATGGTATAGTCAGGGCTGACAGTGTATAGAATCTAATTATATATTTGATAGTTATTTATTTATTTTATGTCAAAGTTGGCAAATCAGCTGACCTTGACCTTGTTTTTTTAGGAATAAGGAGGGAATAAGGAAATGGTAGGAAAAGGTGGGAATAGGGAAAGGGCAATCGGCTCTCTCATTCATCGGACGAAATTTAAGGCTACTTCATGCAGATTTTCTCTACGAGGTTGGTATTTCCCCAGTCGAGCCAGCCCATGTTCGAGCTGTACTTGACCACAGCTAGGCTCTACCACCTTAAAAATAATTATTAATTGTTTTTACTTGAGTGTTGTGACAGCCCTGCTTTGATATCTTCACAAGGGAAGGCTGGTGGTTTGACGGGACCTAACCTTGAGGTACGAAGATAGATAGAGTTCTTTATGAGACCAGGTCTTAAGAGGTCTTTGAAGGAAGGGTGTCTTGGTAGAACCTCGTCTTCTTGGATTGAAAAAGATATAACTCTCTCTCTACTTGATAGTGGAAACAGTTATTCGACAAGTAAAGTCGTGTGTAAATCTGTTTGACATCTTTAGTTTGACAAGGTTGTAAATCAAGTCGTACTAGATTATTCAAGACTTATAGACTAGCTAAATAGTTAAATAGTAAACTCAAAACTGTTGGTTAAGTAGAAGATGAAATTCGTACTAAGGGGGTGGCGATCTTAAAAAGTTGCTTCAAATACGACGACGTAAAATATTTATTTTTTAATTTAAAATTTTATTTATTTCATAGCATTGAACAGATACAATCGATTAGATAAATTTTATTATACGAATACTGATAACGATATTTATATATACTTTTGTTAGATACATTTACTATCAGACTGTTCGTTTGCTCGTCTACCTAAGTAATTGGTAATTTATTTTGGATATTGGCATCAGACGTTAGATTTTGATTACTATTTAATTAAAGGCTGCAAGTTTGTTGCAACAGTAATATCAGCTAATTATTGTTTTGACTATAGAAATAAATGGAATCAATAAAGGAGATACGACATCCTGTGACAGACAGACATACACACATCAGCTCAATAAGCAACAAAGTTACACATTTCACAGACCATGATAAGATATGAAGGCATTGTCAAACTATAGAACCGTGCTGTAAGATGACCAACTCGTGGTGATACTGAAGTTTAGTTGAAGTTAAGTTGAAGTGAAGTTGAAGTGAAACTTCGCTTTGTGAGTTATTAATGGTCACTTTGAATATCGAGTTAAGTTAGAACATTCAAAGTAAGTGTAATGCGCGTAAAACTTACCAACTACGGCTGGTAGACTTGAATTTCAGTTTTAATACGTTTATCCATATATTAGATATAATATATGATCTATATAGTTATATATTTGATATATCATGTCTTTTGTTTAACTAAGGCTCCATTCGCACTGGATTCGTGGAATATTTTATCAATGTCAACGTTTTTTCTGTTCGACGAATTGTAATCTCTAACGAACAATTAATTTAATTATGATCTTGCTTATTTATAATTAAACTAAACATAGAAGTAATTTAATATAAAAAAACTGAAGGGATTATATAAATTTTTTTGAATTATAATTCACAAAATGGTTTATCAAAAAATTTCACGGTCTATCACTCGCCCTGAATAAAGAAAATTTCGGTTTGATTGCATTATAAATATCTCTTGAGTCACGTACACCGACAATTTAACACCCAATTTGTATTGAAGGGTTCCTGAAGGGGTTAAAATTTATAAAAAAAACTTCAAGACACTTTTAATATTATCATTCTGTTATTTGATTAGGAACTTCGCTTCAAATACGTTTTATATGTGAAAGAAATAGGAGTTTTGTTATCAATTTTATTGTTTGCATCAAAACTTAGCATACGATACTTTTATATATATATAAAAAAATGAAATATTTTTTATAGTTTCCATACATTTATCCGACTGTGTACATTATGTGAGGTTTACCGTTTCATCGACCTATTTAAAGGTAATGCATCAGCTCAGGTGAGGAAGATAAAAGGACCACAAAGTAGGAATGGGTGCTGTGTTGTAAAACAAAAGGGATCTTCACACTCACAGCGTTTGACGTGCGTTTATTAGATAATATTAATTTTAAATACACTTCCACTTTACATTCTTATATGTATATAGAGACGAAACCTCTCATCGTTCCATGTATACACGGTGAGTGTGTCGGGTCCATCGTTGTAGTGAGAGGAGCTTCAACAGTGCTTGGGACTTGCGATCCAGGTGTAGTTTTAAAGGGTCCCTATCTAACGCGTTAAACGCTCACCTCCACCGTCCAAGCTCCTTCACTAATATAATAAAACGCTACTCACAAATGTAACGTTTTTTTAAACGTCCGTTTTCTTCATCCAATACAACAAGCGTCATTGATAAAATATATAAAACGCTAAGTGAATCTAGCCGTTAAACCTCAATACATCTCCTATAGAGATATATAAAATACTCGATTTTAGTATCGATGTGGCGACTTTATTGTTTCGGGGGCACAATGACTAAGACGTTACTACCTTAGTTGGAGTTACGATTGATATACTTTGATACTTAAAGTATTTCGTATTGATAAGTTACTTCACGAAACAACAAATAATTAGAAAACTTTATTTAATCATAATTTATATTTTTAACACATATTAAGATGTTTACTATAACGAAAACTTTATTTTGAATTGATTTGTGTTATATAAACTTTGACTTATTCCTAGTCTTACATACATATTATAATAATTATAAAATATAAGTTTATGTGTATTTCGTACTCCTGTATCGAGTCTAGATATTTATTTGTCACCTCTAATATATTATTTGACGTCTTCACTCATGTAATAAAACAATGTCGGTACAGTTTGTGTGCTGGTGTGTTATTGAGTCTATAAAAGATGCCACCCTCCCCGCTTTGACCACAGTATACCAAATAGCCATACATTTTTACAACCCACAACTTTCGGATTTTATATCGCATTAAATGAAATGGAAAATTATATCCGATGAATTATTCAAACATAACTTGTATCTTTTCACGTGGGTAATTTTGTTGATTTAATTTTTTTTATTATATATATTTTACATACATATATTTAACCAAGAGAAAGAGAGAGTTCTTACAATGCGTGTTATCAGAAGATTATGTGTAACTTATATTAAAACAAATATACCAGAGATGTAATAAAAATCAGAATGGTAATACCGCAATGCCTTTCCCTATGCACGTATCTTATTAAAGGTAGTGAAAAAGCTCATTAGCCACGGCTATGGAACCCGCGGATTTGCTCGTAAAAATCCAGCGATAAAGCATATAGCAGTCGTTCTGAGCCGAATGACTCCTACGTGATTCTGTGATGCTGGATACAGAGTTACACATCTTATAGAGGTCCCAAACATGACCTATCAAACATTTGTTACTAATATTACATGCTTGGGTGCTTTCTAATTAGCTCTATTTTAAATATTTAAATCAATTTAATTGATTATGTATATTTTTATATTTAATTGAAGAATTCAAGATGTCTTATATGTATCTATATATAAATATATTATTAAAATAACTTTTATAAAACTATATGTTTCATATTATCATATAATATGTATGTCTAAATATTGTTAGCTCTGTATATCGCCTTTTACGCGTGCTAGGTAAATACAGTAGTAAGAATGACGAATGTAGACGAATTTGAAGAATATCCTCATATCATGAGACGTGGTTTGAATATCGTGATGATGGAGGGGTTTTTTTTATTATTATTTATCTGTAAATCTGTAGTTATTACTTACTTCCCTGTACCGGTCTGGCCAAATCCATACAGCTTTAAGATTTAAGCTAAACTATTTGCCATTTTGAAACTATTGATATTTCATAACATGTGTCCGTTTGTTTATATATAAAGCTTGTATTTAAATATTCGTCATCAGCCTATCAGAGCCCACTGCTGAGCAAAGGCTTCTTTCTCACATGGAGAAGGTTTGAGCGTTAATCACCACGCTTGCTCAAGACGGATTGGTGATTTCAAACTTATAATGGTGAAATTATAAGTCCAGGTTTCCTCACGATGTTTTCCTTCATCAGTCAGTAGTGTCTAAATACTCTTAGAAAGTACATACGATAATAAAAATCACTTTTGTGCTTGCTAGGTTCGAACCCGCGCCCTCGTGCACGAGAGGCAGGCCCTTTAACCACTAGGGCACCACTGACTATTTAAATATGTATGGTAAAATTAGAATAAGTTTAAATGCAAATCTTAGCACGTCTTCAAAGCAAGTCAAGTTTAACTCCGAGCTATTACCGGCGTCGTTACCAACATACGGAGCCATACCCCATGTTAAATCAACACCATCGAAACAGAACATCTTATCTCAAAAAAGACATCAATAACATCATTCGAGGGCCCCCATCGCATCCCATACATGTCTTGGAGCACCCGTTTGTGGAAACATACGGTAACATATCACACTTACCACCGCTCGTGCGAAAACGCTCTGCCTAAATGACTTATAATTAAATCATGTAAAAGTGAAATGTAAATAAAATAATATGTAATATAGCCCACTGATATCATTAACGACTTTTATTACAATAATGTTTACAATTGACTACAGATATGAAATGAAAAACGTGATTTCATATGTAATCATGAATATTCGACCGTATGTTTACAGACACGTTAAAAAGCGATATGTAAATCGGCCAATCGATTGCCGACCGTATAACTAAGTGTATAAGTTCGTTATTCCATTTGTATTGTAAATAAAATATAAAACCTCTTCAGGCGATATCGAAAAGAAATTGTAAAATAAAATCAAACGTAATTCGTGGCATTTCTCTCAATTTGCGCAGATCAGCCTCCGGGCCCCAAACATATGTAAATTGGAATTCCGTTTTATAGATACGTAACGTAAGTGTGATTTGATTGTTTGTTTGCGATGTATCAGACGCTTTTGTATTCTTATCGTATAACAATATATTCCTCTGTAACGGAATAAGAATTAAAATGTATGTCTTACAAATTTTGACGTGATTCAAGATTTTTATGTACATACTAGCTGATCCGGCAAACGTTGTTTTGTCATATAAAAAATAGAGATTGGTGATAAAAAAGTTATAATTTTTGGATTGTATTTTTTAATGCTACATTATAAAAAAATAACAAAAAAATTAAGAGTGAACAATCCTTATGACTTAGGTGTTAGAAAAATATATGTTAGCCGATTCTCATACCTAAAATCGGTCCTACCGTTTCGAACTGCTCTATCTACCACCGCGACACTCGAATTTAATATATATAGATATTGTATGCAAACAATTTATAATATTTTTTTTTGTCATTCAGTGATCGTATTGTATAGGTTCAGTGTCGTCAGTGCCATCAGGCAGATACGCGGTGTTATATTGGTTTTTGATGTTCTGACATTTATATGCACGTTTTGAATGCGAGGGTAGCTCTAATGGTTCTATTTCCGTTATTTTATTGTAACTCATACTAAAGTGATATTAAAATAACATATACTAGTTTTTGGACGCGACTTCGTCTGTTTTAGTTTCACTATTAATGTATAGCTGACTGAACGAACTCTTTCTACTTAAACACAGTAGATAAGACTGGATTTGATCAACTTATTTTTTCTTTTTCGATCGGATGAAAAGTATCCTATGTCTTTTCTATGTTTTAATCTATCTCTCCACCAATCTTCAGTCAAATCCGTACAGCCATTCTTGAATTATAAATAGTGTAACTAACACGACTTTTTTCCACATTTTCACGACTTTCTTCTACCCGAATTACTTCTTACTTCATCGAACTATAAGTAAAGTCATGTTATAATATATAGCTAGATTGTGAATAACTCTATCCGTTCTAATAAAATAATATTGCCATCTGATTCTGCATAACATCATCCAAAACACAACAGCGAAATATTTATATTGGATTCCCTCATCCCCGGAATGTATTACCGACCATACTTTGAATATACGACGTGTCTCTTAAATGTATCTAGCGTATTTAAGATTCGCAATATAAATGGTAGAACTATTTCACCTTACTTTACTTGACATTTTTTAAAAACAATAGCAACTCTACAGGGTCGACTAAAAAGTGTTTTAGAAATTTTGGTAATTTTTATAATTGTCAGTAAATCCTTCTTCTTCCATATTGTAAATGCTGCAGTTTCCGTAGCGGAAGTAGCCGGAGTTCGAAATTCAAATTCTAAAAATACGCTCCTTCCCGTTTCCGGCGTTTGATTCCTCCCGTGATACGACGTTTCCTCTACAGCATCTGAATGTGGTTTCGCGTTAACTATATCCCATTAGGACAAAGCTTAAATCGTTTGAAAGCAAATTAAACATTAAGTATTAAATAATATTTTTTATTAGTATACACTAAAGTGTCTAATATATGTGATAAAAAATATATTAATATCCTTAAACAAGTACATAGCTTATTTAAATCTTCATAGTCTCTCTATGTTCAGGTCACAATATAAATATATTAAAACGATTCAATCCCCCCACCTTACCGTGAATCTCGTCTTCGGTATGTACGCTATGAACTGCTGTCTTTCACAGCATTACATCGCTTTGGAAAATTGGAAAATTATTTCGTTCGTAAATCCACGCAAGCAAACATTAGACATAAGAATATATACATTTTTATGCTCAACTAAATAACTCTAACCGACCAAGTAAAAGGCTTTATACTGATGGCTTTCATTTATTATATACTAGTTGTTGTACCAGACTTTGTTCGTGTTAATTACAGAATTAGAAATGGGTTATAATTAACCAGGCGACTTCTATTCCGTCGTAAAGTCTATAACTAAGCATTTGTTGGATTTTATTTAGATTTTTCTTTCTAAAGTTCCACTTCTGATATATTTTAAAACATCATTTTGTTTCTACTACTATAAGAATGTTAATTGTCATCAAACGATTGTACTTTCACGAGTGAGACACTTAATCATACCAAAAATGCCTTCCATCATTTTTTATGAGCTGATATCTTTACTTTAATATGCTGGACCTATATTAAACAAGCTTATCTAAGAAGACAGTCTGACTGACAGATTGTGAAAGAAAACATCGTGAGGAAACCTCGACTTATAATTTCACAATTATAAGTTTGAAATCACCAAACCTTCTTGAGCAAGTGTGGTAATTAATGCTCAAATCTTCGCCATGTGAGAAGAAGACTTTGCTCAGCAGTATGCTCTGATAGGCTGATGACGCGCTAGGAAGGACTCCAAGGAAAATTTCTTTCCTTTGAAAAAAAAAAACACTTTGAAATCGATTGATCTGTTTTATAGTTACAATGTCACAGACAGACATATATAGACGCTAAATTTATAAATTTATAACTCTTTTTGTTTCCTTTATTAACATGGTACGGTTAAACAATAATATTAAATTCTATAGAGGCTTAATTATATTCTAATTCTGGACAAATTCTTCTTCTACAGTGTAATAAGCTTTACTAATACGTTATCGCCAATGACAAAATATATTACTTCCAAAATGGAGTACGCCATACTATAAAAAAAAACAGTTTAAAAACTTTTGCTGTTTAATTATAATACATACATACATATTATCCTAAACAAAATTTTATTCTTTAACCAATACAGTTCCAAACGTCAGAAAAACAAACAAATTTTTACTGTATTAGCATTAATATTTATAAAATTAATGTCTATTTCGATATAATAAGATAACTCTAAATTAACCATACACTTGGATTTATTGAATTAAAATAAAAACAAAGTATAAAGGCCAAAAATTAATAACTACTATTTAATTCATACAATACAAAACTATATAGTTACTTTGTATCCAATTCTCATATCCATATCTAAGTGATCTTTGATATTATTTCTCTAACAATATTTTTTCAAGCCCTCTCCCTAACCATTTGATCTAATAGATATGTATCTATAAAAAATGCTGTTCAAATTGCTGCCACCGATTGCCTCAATTTGAATACAAACTTATTGTACCGAATTTTATTTATCGAGAGATTTTTCTGTTGTTTTGTTGAAAAATAACATATCCAATACGTCTTCAGTACTATAAAACATGTTTTAAATCTAAATAAACTCATTAAATTTAATATTTTGTACCTATATTATAATATTTATTTATAAAGCCGATGTTTTTATCGTCAATTTTTAAATAATAAAGTAACATAATATAACAATTTATTTAACTATATCTGCAACAGAGCGTCCATTTATTTACCCCAAAACACCAAGGGTGGGCGATATCGGAATTGAAAAACAATTTGTGATATAAAATAAAAATTTTCAAGCCATAAGATGTAACGAGAACAAATGGCGTCTTAGGCATGGCAACGCTATGCAAAGGGTGTATTTAATGCATGGAACATTTAATAATGACATTTGAAGCGTACATTCTATGGGGTACAGATATTGAAAGATATTCTCAATGTTTGGTTAAATTTAAATGCGACTAGTTTTTACTACCGACGTTGTTCGATAATATTTAACTTATTTTTTTTTTTGGTATTTACTTTAAGAGATTTTCGAATATACGTAGTGAAAGCTTAAACCTTTTCCAGAAACTTCTCACTCATTCAGTAAAAGACCTATTGAAAGCCGTTCAGCTGTTTCAGAGATAAGCCACGTCAGGCAGAACAAACGGACGGACAAAATGGAAATTGGATATGAATTAAACTAAAACAGTATAATACTATACCATAAAAATAATTAAATATGTAGATTTCCAATTGAAATTTAAGAAATTTATAAGTTACAAGATTTCCCTTATCAAATTAAATACATATGTATCATAGAAAATGATGCTCGAATTTAGCTACTAGCACTATTTCAAGTTTTTTTTGACAAAATTATAAATATAATTATATAATTAATAAATATTAGAATTACGTCATATTAAGGTAACATTAACATAATAACAGTAACGAGCAATTACTATTAAATTGTGATTTGCTAAGCACATCTTGCGAGGCGGTGCGGCAACATTATAGATATCCCATTAATTAATTGATACTTATACAGAGTAATAGATAGAACAGAGGCAACTACAATATATATAAACTTATTAATATGTATAATTATAAAACGAGGTCGAAGTAGATATATGTATATGAATTCAGTTATCTATACTACATACATGTATATGTAACAATCATATAGTCAGGTGCTAATATACATGTACATCAAAATATCGAATTAAATTCAACTTATAGAGAAAGCAAGTGATATGATATGAACAGTCAATGGTACTTGACTTGTCCAAAAAAGAAAACCAGGATAGATCGCATTTATCACGGATCAACAAAAATATTACCATCATGGGCCTATGCCCATAGAGGTGT